TTTCCCAAAGTTTCCCAAATTTTCCTGTTTTAAATAGCAACCTGTTTTAGAAACACTATGGTAATGTTTTTTAGCTTACAGTTCTACTAAGACTGTTGGGTCCCAAACAAAAACTCAATTAGAAATCAATGAAGTTTGCTTGACTATCACCAAATAGAATTTTCAGCCACAATGAGTCTAGTTTCCCTTCTGTGCATGTTCTCCAGCCCTTAAATAGCCTAATCTTCAAAATAAAATCTGAATTCCTTCTCTACTGTCTCCTTTTGCGGCCTCAGAGAAAGTGACATGAGAAACATTAAAAGGCTAGAAAGCGTATTCAACTCGAGGGTGTTCTTTGGAGCTTAGTTTGTTTCATATGACTTCCTTCCTCTGGGCAATTTTGTGGAGAGGATGGCGTACATAGGAGCTTTATACATACTCATCATAAAAAAATGAACAAAGTGATGGCTCAGCTATTAAAAAAAAAACAAGAACAAAGTAAATAAAAGCATAAAGACGAAAAAATTATCACTTATCCACCCATCATATAAAGTCAGCCATAATTAAATGTCCTTTATGATGTTTTGTTACACTGTGGTTTTTGTATGAAGCTGGCTGCTTATAACCTGCAGGTACTTTTCAGGGTACAAATTTATTGGCATGTGCCAATTATAACCAAATGGTAAATGCTATTAAAATGTGATAATCTTGGAAACTGACCTGCAGACAGTATTGCATTTCAATTTGGGCAGCATATTGTTTTAAAAGAAAACTGAAATGAAGGCCTCTAGGAAAGTTTCAATTTTGCCGCAGGTTTAATGACTCTGTATTGTTTTACATAAGGTTGTTTCAAAAGTTTAGGTACCTACCTGGGTGGGCCCTAAATGCATTTGAATTTATAATAAGTATAAACTTATTATCTGAACATAAAATGTTCAGATAACTGAATGTCTACAGGAAGTTGAGAAGGAAAACATAACTTTTAAGAATTATTGCCTACTGCTTCCTGCCCAATGCAAACTACGCAAAAATTTTCAGTCAGTGTCAAGATTCACTTCCTTCCAAGCTTTTATCTAGCTTGAAGAAGCATGCAAAAAAAAAAAATACAGATTATCCCCATTCAACTTCCAATTTCTAAAGCAGATAAAACCCAAGGGGGGGGGGGAAGGCAGAGAAACCTCAAGTCATGAAAAAACGCTCATCTTCCAAGTGAGGTCTGAATCAGGAGAGCTTAACACAGGACATTCCTAACAATAGAAGTAGTAGCACAATTGCTTGCTTCAAAGCTGGAATGCAGGGAGAAGATGTGGAAGCTGTTTGCTGTGGAGCTCGCTCTGGGGGAGCAGAAAGTGCAGCAGGAGCCTCACAGAATAACCCAAGAGTATCACCTGCTCCGCAAACTCTAGCAGGAACAGCAATAAGAAACAATCTGATAAAAGCATATCTGAAGAGAGCAAAAGGAATCAAGTGGTGGGGTCCAGTTTGAGTCCATGGAGAGATCTGGACAGCCAACTGATTGGTAGAATAACAACGCCGAGAATACTGATAGCACATTTACATGGCAAATATTTGCCAGGTATTTCTGTAATGGTAGTAAGTAGGGTGGACTATGGTATAATTTACATAAGACACAGCCCTGAGTGACAAATACTGATTGTTTTGACAATTCTTCATTTAAAAAAAATAATTAATTTCCATTTAAAAGATACTTTCTAAGTCTGAAGGGAAAGGTCTCGTGTGCTTTACTCATTAAATAGGTTTTGTGTTTTTCTTGAAACCACATCCAGCATGGTTTCTCCAGCACCACTGTAGGAAATACCAGATGCTCAGGGTAAACTCCAGCAAGCTTTTTGTGTTAACAAGTGTCGCCATAAGTGCTTGACTATCCTATTATCTAAAATCAACTCCACTCTACCATTTTTTTTTAAACTCTGCTCCTATTTTTCAGTTGGATTTGCTAAAAGGGCATGGATTTTCTCCCTCTGCAAGATATGTTTACCTGGAACTACTTGATTATGTTAAAAGAAATCTTAAAACAAAGTATCTTATGTATATTCTACTCTGCTTGTTGATATTATAATCTTCATCACAAGGCCTAACTAATGACCAGTCAGAATGGTTGATTTTTCAGCAGGAAAAGAAAAGATGGCCCTAATAATGGTTCTGGGCAAATGCACACTTTATAAAAGTATACTGAAATCGGTAGAACGCTCTTCCTATTTTTATTCCTAATGAGAGAATACCATCCAGAAGCAGATGATTAGGCGGGGTCTTCCCTACAACAACATATTCACTGACTTTTCCCCACTTATGGTTGAGACGCTTATACCTTTATTTGGTGTTAAAATCAGCTTTCTGTTGACCTACTACTATTAATGTTCTGAGGCTATGGGAAAACACCAAATCTGCTTACACTGTGATGTATAAAGAAATACAAAGTGTTCTGACTCTTCCTTCAGTCACCAGCGGTTCCCTCTGTCCCCACCAGCTCAACTCCTATTTAAGCTGAGAGCAAACTGATTGAAACCTATTACTGGAGGGAAATTGCCCTTGTCTGTTTCTGATTATGACTCAGGTAATTAAATGGTGACTTTAGAAGTTCCCTCACCAGTTTCTCCAATTCTACTGAAGGAAAGAATGAAACGTTTTCTAAGCCAAATGAGTAAGACTATTTACTCATCTAATTACATCTATTTCTCACCTTGTATGTATATAATTTATGCAACCTCCTATTTCTCAACAGAAATACACTTCATCAATTCCTTTTCATTTTTTAAAACACATATGGACTAGGTGCCTATTATGTGTCAAGCAAGAAAGGAGAAGAGAGAGGGGGAGGAGTGGGAGGCAGAGGGAAGAGAAAAGGGAGGAAAGTGAAAAGAAAAAGGGTAAGGAGAGGAGAGGGGGATATATGGTAACAATTGTCTTGAATTTCTGTTTCCTTGTGCATCAATTCCATAGGGATTCTCAATCTGAAGGCAAAAATACTGAAGGGCTGTAACAGAGTAGCTAAGAGGTCTGCAAAGCCCTGGGCTCATCAATATGCAAACCGAGAATTATAATGAGATTGAATTACATTGACCACATCTGCACTAGTTTTAAATATTCATATAGATACTGGTATTATTTTCAAAAATGCATAGTATCCAGGGGTGATATTAAAAATATTTAATAAGTGGTTAAGCATGGGCTTCAACTAATAAAATACACTGCTAACCCTCAACAGCCAGCTTGGACAGACTGTTCCTGTCAGCTGAGTAGCAGACGAGCCAATCCAGGTGAAGGGAGACAACTTTTTCTGCTCTGTCTCTGTTTTCTTTGTTCATATTAAAGAGGGGTCCTCATAACCAAAAATACTGGGAGTTATTTTTGTAAGAAATAGGCTTGGCTCAGATGTAACACCATATCCTAGTGATTAAATCACAACCCATGAGAGAAATCATAAGAAATTTAGAAGTTAGTGTTATGTTGGAGCTTTCTCTCTCATCATCTTTAACAGTCATTCCCTTACTTTCCCATGAATCCCTAGTATTGGCCAACCCTTGATGCTCCAAAGCAGCGGTTCTCAACCTGTGGGTCACAACCCTTTCACAGGGGTCGCCGGGTACTCATATGTGGGCGTATCTGCATGTGGGCCTGGAAACGGATAGAGGAGCGGTGTCTCGGTTCCTAAGACCATCGGAAATATGTTTTTCAATGGTCTTAGGCAACCCCTGTGAAAGGTTGAGAACCGCTGCTCCAAAGGCTGTAAACGCAATCCCATGAAAAACATCTGTCTTTATTTATACTTGATTTATAATAAACAGCTAGTCTCTGCTTGTGGATTCAATTTATATAAACTATTTAATACTCTGCCAACAGAAAAAAATTCCAACTTCAGAAGGGTATCTGGGATAGAGTACAATCTGTGCTAAGCTATTTTACCCTAGGGTATGCCTGCAATTGGAAGCAATGTGTTAGCATGTAAGAATGGTCAATGGTTTTTCCCTAGTGAAAGAAGAAAACACGCTGGCCTGGCTAGACTACCTGTTACTTTAATTAGCCCAAGAAGTAACTCCCATGGGCAGGCCGAGTGGCGCATTGGTTAAGATTTGGCTTGAGACGCCAGCTCTGAGCAGCAGGGCCCCAGTTTGGATCCCATGTGAGGGCCAGTGACGCTGTGCCCGCTACAGCTAAGATGGTGAGCAACAGCTCGACCTGGAGCTGGGCTGCCGTGAGTTGCCGGCGACGGCGTAGGCTGCAGTGGGCTGCCATAAGCTACCGTGAGTGGCTGACAGCTGGCATGAGTGGCCAAGAGCCACAGTGAGCGGCTGTCCAGTGGCCGGTGACCGATCTGCCTCACCTGGGAAGAGTGCAATGATAATACCAACATGGGCCAATGAAGCGACGTCCTCCACAACTAGACCGAAGAACAAAAGGACAGGGCAGCAACTTGTCTATTCCACTTCCCCGATTCCCCAACGCTGTTCCCCTCCCCCAACTCCCCAATAAAATCTTTTTAAAAAAAAGTAACTCCTATGCTATCTCTTTGTCTTAGTTTAGTCATGTTACTCACATTAATATATTTTCTACATCCTATTACTTCAGTGGGTCACTTGGGTCAATTTCTCAGAACCAACAAGCAATGATAAGGAGGATAGCATAATAGCATAATAACTCCAAAAACTATTTTATGACATCCATGTCTTTCCTATAGATTCAGTACAAAGCCAAGTGGCTAAAGCAATATTTAGAAATAAAGTTATAGTAATAAAGAAAATAAATTAAGAATTTACTCATACTTACCACAAAGTAAATTTAAATATAGGTGGAATGTACATATTCAAATATAGATCAGTTGTTTTTTTTAACCTACTGAAATCATAATTTTTGTAAAAATTATACCATCTAACGTCTCTGGGGAAGAGTAGTGTCAATTCTGGTTATCTTTTTAATTTTAAAATTCTGAGGGTCTACTGGTAAGAAGAGGCTTCAGATATTAAATCAGTGAAAATATGAATGCATTTTCCAATAAAACTAACCTTAAAAAAGGCAAACCATTTGTAGTCATTCAACACAATTTCAAAGCCTTGATTGTAAATGATGGTGAAATGGCCAGAATTGCCAAAGTCATCATATGCTGTATCCAACTTCTTAAGGTGCACCACTACTTTTTTTTCTGGTGGTCCTAAAGAAAAGAAAATACACAACAATGGAAAATTATTTTGACTTCAATAGGAGGAAAAATTTCCTCTATAATTTCCACTATTTTTAAGCTGCTTTCTTGTCATGCTATCCAATTTGAGCCAATTTGTCTTGACGATATCAGTTTCCATCTTGTTGCCCCCTCTGTACAATCCCAGAAGGGTTTCAGGCCAGCCTGTGAAGTAAGGGCTCAACAGACAGAAATATGCCAGAAGGCAGAAAGACCCCCAAAAGTACAGCCACTGCTTTCCCAGAGCATCCAGACTGAAGACATCTGTCCACTGAAGAAAAGGGGAAACTTGGGGGATGTTGAAAATGACGGGCAGGAATGGGAAGAATATAAAATGGTAGTCAGAAAGTGGAAAATATAAAAAGACTTGCTATCAGATCAAAAGAAGGACAAATGACATGATCTCTTTAAAAAAGAAATGGGCTACCTTTCTCCTTAATGGCTCTACAGTTCAGAACTTCAAAATCTGAATCCTTCCAAAGTATTCAGGTTTCAATCCTATAAAGCTAATTTGTGCTGATAGGAACTCAACTTTTAACCTTGAGAAGACGGGGACTCAGATCTGCTAGTGTCTTTAACTACTTACTATATTACACTCAAAGTAATAGTTTATAGGCAGAGGCTGCCTGAAAAGGGTTCTGCTGTGTCCCATCTGGAGGTTTGCACATTTTGGCAGTTTTTCCATGTTTCAGATTAATGTTTAGAAATCAGAGATTGCATGTGACAGAAGAGTGTAAATCCTGATCTCCCTTCTGCTTCAAACCAGTAAATTCAACTTTTAAAAGAGAAGATGGTTACAATGCCCAGGATTATGCGATGCCACACCGTCATCTGGAGTTGGACAGCTGAATTGGTTCTGTTTAAGTAACAAGTAACCTGACCATCTTTGTTTTGATGCCAAGGAAATTGCAGCCGAGAGTTTCACTCATTCTGCACAAGCCACAGGGTGGTCAGGATTTAGGCAGAACAAAAGTGCCTCTTCCAACTGAGACTGCGTGTTTTTCCTACACCCATTACTGAATTCTTTGTTCTTGGTGTCTGAGGGTATGTGGAATACACCAATGTGTTAAAACATTAGATGTTTATTAAAGCCTTCCATAAGCCAGGCATTTTATATTTCCAAATATAATTACTAGCTAAAAAATTAATAAAAGGATCCAGAAAAAAAATCAAACCTTTATATACCTTCCTGCAATTCAGGAAATGGTTCTGAGTGATCCCATAAATTTTCTCAAGCTATTAGCATCAACACACCTCCAAATCAAAATCGCTGGGCATAAAAGGCTCTTTCCCACCACCTAACAAAAGGAGAAAATTTTTCTTGCTATATTCTTAAGTCTTTGGGCTCAGTGTCACCAGCACAAGAAAAACAAACAAACAACGAAAACCCTGCAGATTGGAAGGGGAGATCATAAGACTGCAGTCGAACTCCCTTCCAAACCAAACCAAGCAAAAAAACAGAAAGAAAAATTGGGGGGGGGGGGGAGGAAAGTTCTTCAATAAAAGTGTTGAGGCCCCAGGAATACACAAGAAAATGTGAAGTTAGAAGTTCTCTGCCGTTCAACTTGAACTTGGAGGCCCTGGCACCTGCGAGGGCATCACAAAGGGCCCCCAGTCCAGCCACGATGTCGTGGCCTCGTGCAGAGGCACTCCGTCGGGGTGCGCTGTGGAGAAAGGAGCCAGGGACTGCGAGGGAGTCCCGGGCTGGCACAGGGAGAGAAGTCCTGGGACTCCAGCTGCTTACCCATCACCGAGCAGTTGACGTCCTGCCGGGATCCTCCGCGGCCCACCTGGAAGACCCAGGTGCCCAGCAGGTCAGGGTAGGTGCAGTTGGCGGGTGTATCGCAATGCGAGGTGCTGACACCGCAGAGGAGCAGCAGGAGGGCAGCGGGCAAGGAGCGGGACCAGGGACCCATGTTGTCGGGGCTCAAAGAAGAGCTGGGGGAGCAGAAGCCGGAGAAAGGCGCGCACGGTGTCAGGGGACCTGGACCGCACGCGCCTTAAAATAACCAGAGGGCCGGAAACCCGCTGCCTGGCGGGGGCGGGGTCTCGGTCTCCGGGCGGAGGAAGAGGGGGATGGGGTGCTGGGCGCTCCGCGTGGGTCGGGGGAGCCGGAGCGCGCCCGGCTCCTCATTAGGACCTTGATCCCGGGGAAAGCCCAGGGACACGTTCTATTGCGAAGGGATGACTCAAAAATGAGAGAGGGGGAGAGAGAAAGAAATGGGGTGGGAGGACAAAGGCCAAAGAGAGACAGAGTGAAGGGAGGTGGGGGAATCTGTGAGGCGAGACGGGGGGTGAGAAAAAGGCCCAGAGAGGGAGAAATCTAATAAGTGGAGTTTTCTTTAATTTGCTTTTTTTTTTTTTCCGTTTGTCCTCACCACCTTTTTTTTTTTTTTCTCTCTGAAAATTTTACTTGCTCCCCCCAGCCACCCCAGCTGTTTGAGAACTGCTCTTCCTTCCGTTTTCCAAAGCTTTCACTACCTTTTTTGGGGGTGGTTTTTGTTTGGTTTTCTGTTAATGTTGTTTGCCTATTATCCACAAGAGAATTCAGTTGCAGTGCACACTTACAATTTTGTGTACTTGTTGTTCCCCGCCCCCTGCAACCTTTATAGGATTTAGTTCTCTCTCTCTCCCTCTCTCCCTCTCTCCCTCTCTCCCTCTCTTCCTCTCTCCCTCTCCCCCTCCCTCCTCCTCTATCTCATGCTGTCTTCCCTAACAACCAAGGAGCTAACCCTGAGCTTTTTTACCAGACCCTCTTTTTCTCTCTCCTCCCTCTCCCCCCCACCCCCACCCCCTTCCTCCGTCTCTCAGAATCTGACTCCTCCTCTCCTTTTATCGCTGAAAAGCATGAAACCCAGAGAGAGGAAGTCACTTGCCCACGGTGAGGAAGGGAGCTGGTGGGAGGGTGGGAGCGGGCTGGTCAAGTGAGCAGTGTCCCAGTGTACCAGTTTGATCGCCAGTAATTATTAGGTAGCATTTGTGGGGGTTCAAAAAGAGCCAGCTCAGATGTGCCACAGTGGTATGTGGATTGTTTTGGGCTAAAGGCAACTTTAGCTGTGGCCTCAAGAGAAATGTCTACCCCTCCCTTAACTACATAGAAGAACTTGAATTGGGGGCCTTGTTCATAAGAGATTAGCAGACATTACCTCTTTTGACCTATCTATAGGGCTGGGTAAATGCCTAATTACTAAAAACCTGCTGTTAACATCTTGGAATGAACCTTTCAAGTTCCCAAGTCACTTAGTACCTCATCCCTAGTTCAGAATGTCACATGGACCCATTTTACCTTTCTGTCATTTAACCTTTCATGCATGTGGGGTCTCTGACTCTCATTTATGTGGGGTTCCCATGCATCTGAATGTAATTAAATCTGGTTATTTTCTCTTGCTAATCTGTCTCATGTCTATCTGATTATTGGACCAGCCGAACGAGCCTTTAGAGTAAACTTTCTTCCTCCTCCACACATTATTTCCAGGTGCCTCCTTGCTCAGTTTAAATATTACCTTTTTTTTGTGAGAGCTCCTCTGACTTCATTGGCTGTTGTTACAAGTTGGCGCTTTTCCTTTACAGACACCTGACACCTTTTAGCTGTCAGGCCCTGTGCCAGCATAAAGGACAACTAATGAACAAGACAGACTTGCCTGTGTCACTCCCCTCTAGAGTAATGCATTTTGCCCTCATCACACTGGTTAAAATAAGTATTTGCATGCCCACCTTTTCCATCAGACGATAAGTACTCAAAGGGAGCAAGTACATATTACTCACCTTTGTCTCCCTAGATTCTGGCTTGAAAACACTCAGGAAGTATCCTGGGGTGTTAAAATAAATGTACCTAATAGCCTTATCTTGGTTGCTAGGCCTGAAAGCCAAATTCGATTTGGCAAGGAGATACCCTTGAAAGCTCAGAAGTGAAAGTGCTCTCTAATGCAGGCAGGCGCTGCAGATGAAAGGGGGAGGGGGACACAGCACTCTACTCATAGGTTTTATAGCCCTTTACCTTGGATTAAAAGCTGGCATCATATAATTAAGCTAGCACACTTACTGTTTAGAGATACACTGACAGTGGCATTGCCTTCCTGAGTGCCCGGGGAAAGTGTGTTACTTTGTTAAAACATTAAAAAGTTTTACTAGGTCATCAATATTGAAGAGTTAAACAGTGGAGTTGGAAATTTCTTTATGGGTGTAATCAAAGTAGCACTTCGCTTACCTGTAAAGAAAGTTTAAAACAGTCTTTATTCAAAGAATAAGTAGAAAGAGATCTTGGAAACCTCTTAGTCTGATGGATTCATTTAATATTGGAAAATGGAGAACCAGAGACAATAACAGTGAATGTCACATTGCCAGTTACTGAGATGCAGGAATAAACCTCAGGTACCTGGATTTTCAACGGAGTTTATTTCCAATTATCTATTAATTCCTAAAGTAGCCTTCCTTAAAATAAAATACTAGCCCTCTCTCTCCGTTAGTGGGGTGGGGGTAGGGGTGGGGAATTAGTAATTCTCAAACTGCTCTGAAGTTTTATTTTTATAATGAACATTTTATAGACTATTACAATATTGCGACTTATATATGATCATTCAGATAAGTAAAATATATTTCTCAGATATATTTGGTCTTCATCCACAGTTCCTGGCTCACAGCGCCTCAAACCCTTGGAATTTCCTGATCAATAACAACAATGGGAGCATCATTTGTTACAATATTTTGTATCTTCTCAATTCCTGAAAATGCTTCAGGGCACTAAAGGTGAAATGGGTGCCTTGTTATTCCTAACAAGCCCTTCCACCACAACTGGGTTTATGTTAATGAGTGACCTTTACAAAGTGACTAAGTAAGAGGTCTAGTTGCCAGGGGAACCAAAGGTGAACAGAAACTTTTATCCCACTCCCTGATTTCCAGGGAGGAGAGAGGGGCTAAAGGTTGAATCAATCACCAATGGTCAATGAGGTCATCAATCATGCCTAAGTAATGAAACCTCCATAAAAACCCAAAAGGAGAGCTTCCAGGATAGGGAACCAGAATGTTGCCACATGTTACCATGCCAGGCCCAAGGTGCAAGATGACAGAAGCCTCTTTGTGTGGAACTTGCCCTATGTCTGTTCATCTGGTTGGTGATTTGCATCCTTCAATATCCTTAGTAATAAACCTATGGTATAGTAAATAAACAGGTTTTCTTGAGTTCTGTGAGCTGTTCTAGCAAATTAATCAAACCCTAGGAGGGGGTCATAAGAATCTCTGATTCATAGCCAGTTGGTCAGAAGCACAGGTAATAGGCTTGAGACTGGCTTCTGAAGTAGAGGGTAGTCTTGTAGGAGTGAACCCTTTACCTGTGGAATCTGACTCTATCCGGACAGTTTCAAAATTGTGTTAAATTCTTGGACACAAGTAGAGTGTCTAAGAATTACTTGTTGTTATGGGGGAAACCCTCTCCATGTTGGAAATTGAGTCTCAGAACACTTTTCAGAGTCCTTTTACTGTTCTGAAATAAAATTCACATATAAGCTACTTACACAATAAAAAAGAAAAAAATACTTAATATAAAGGACAAACAAGAAGGTGTTTCGAATACATTTTGAATACAAAGACATATATTCCATCATATAAAAGGTTCATGTGTGAATGAGCTGGAAAACATAATGAGACTTTCAGATATTGCCCTTTACGTCTCTATGTAAAATTGTAGAATCGCCATAAGAGTGACAGGTACCTTTTCTCTGAGAACAGAAATGATTTCAGTGAGTTAGAACTCAAATACCATACATATCAAATGGTCATTTAACCACGATACCTCAGTTACCAATGCCAGATTACTCTTGGTTAAAGCTTATGGCCTGGATAGTTGCAATGGGCTTAATCTCTGGTCAAAAATTACACAGGGTGGCTTAAAACTTTCTTGGCAAAAATGGGGCTCCTTTGAAATTTCCCAATTAGCTTATCTGAGAACTTAACTCCAATGCTAAGGTTTTTGAACCCGCCAAAGACAATGAATGAGAGGCTTTCTTTAATTGGTATTGTGAGGCTTCAAATGAAACCAGGAGGCACCTATTGCCTCCTTCGAAGAAAATAATTTTAAAACTTAATAAACACCCCCCAGAAATTAGAAGAAAAGACTTATGCACGTGATCCACCTCCCTTACTTTTGGAATCCTCTGAGCTGTCTTCTCCTCAAAGTCACTCAGTTCCTCCTTTGGCATCTCCACTTAATCCTCTGTATCTGAACCCCCTCTTTATTCTTCAGAAATCCCTGTTCCTGAACCTTCTCCCTTCATGGCCCCTTTTAAAGGTTTAGATAACATTTTTTTTAAGATTTTATTGGGGAATTGGGGACAAGAACAACATTGGGGAATCAGGCAAAGGGAACAGACAAGTTGCTGTCCTTTTGTTCTTCTGTCTAGTTGTGGAGGATGTTGCTTCACTGGCCCATATTGGTATTATCATTGCGCTCTTCCCAGCTGATGCAGTTGCTTGCTGGCCATTGGACAGCCGCTCACGGCAGCTCACGGCAGTTCACGGCAGCCCACTGCAGCAGGGGCTGCAGCCTACACCATCACCAGTGATTCACGGCAGCCCAGCTCCAGGTTGAGCTATTGATCACCATCTTGGCTATAGAGGGCGCAGCGTCACTGGCCTTCATATAGGATCTGAACTGGGGCCCTGCTGCTCAGAGCTGGCATCCCACGCCAACTCTTAACCAACGCGCTACTAGGCCGGACTAGATATCTCTTAAGGAGTCAAAACTGTCTCTTTGACTCCTGGAACTAAAGCAAAACTTTTAGCCATCGTTAAGGATTTCCCACACTCAAAAATGAACCCCTCTGAATTCGCATTTAGTCTTATCATTAGTTCTCACCAGCCAGGTCTCTCTGTTCCGTACTATCTCATCCACATGTTGGTTAGTAATGTCCTAGCTAGAGAATGGATGAACTCTGCGAACTGGAGCCACCCCCTATAAGACTTTAAGCTCCTGGGTGCCGCAGGGTTAAGTGCCTCACAGAAACAAGCACAACAAGTATTAAAAGCCAGTCCCCAAATTTC